TATTGGTGGGTTCTATATCCGTATGATAATAATACAATGAGCTGTAATTGTATAATGACAAGGAAAGCTACATTCAGATTATTCTGGTTTCCAAGTATGTCCTGGGGATGTTACTAGAACCCAATTTATTGGTTCTCATTTTATCTACCTTAGGAAGCATTAAGGGCTGAGTCAACCCAAAGCCGGAGATCGAAACTGAGACCCCCGAGGGCTGAACAGATTCTACTGATTGTTCTTTAACCCACTGAGCTCACCAGCCCATTAAAAATGGACCTGTCACAATAAAACTGAGCTGTAATAATACAATGAGGTGAAATAATACAGCAAGCTATAATAATACAATGAGGTGTAATAATACAGTAAGCTATAATAATACAATGAGGTGTAATAATACAATGAGGTGTAATAATACAGCAAGCTATAATAATACAATGAGGTGTAATAATACAGTAAGCTATAATAATACAATGAGCTGTAATGGGACAATGTGCTGTAATAATACAGTGAGCTGTAATAACACATGGAGCTGAAATGATTCATATAGATGTCATGATAGAATGAGCTGTAATTTTACAATAAACTGTAATATTGCAGTGAGCCGTGATGATTACGGTAGTTAGGAAGCCTATTTAAATTCCTGTATATTACAAGTTTTTTTTTGTGTTAACTCATTAAGAATAAGTTAATTAATGGGACACTCTAAGACCTAAAAAGAAACTGTAGTTTAAAGTTGCACCATCACCCTCTGTATCTATGCAGGATTTGCATATACTCGCCTCTGGGAGTCAGGCAAAGGTGAGTTCTACTTACCCGAACCTGTCCTTCGTTTGCGCTGCCATCTTCTTCCATCGCGCCCTCTTCACCATCCTGGCGCTTTAGTGAGAGTACAGCATTGAAGTCTGTAGCGTATCCCTTGAGATCCTCCAATGATACAGCTAATATCTCTGCAGCCATCACTGGTGACGGCTGGAGTGATTCACACTTCACAGTGCCACTTGAATGAAGCAGTTTTGGTGTATAGATCATGTCCCTGAAATCTCAGTGCTCAATTATCTGTCATTTAGGAGTTAAATCCTATTTATTTTTGTTTTTATAGCTTTAACCACAGACCTCCCCTTGCTCTGACCTACACAGCCTGCATAAAAAAAAAAGGTTTTATTTTCAAACAGTTCTTACAGCGCGGTGTGTTTACTTTACAAATTTTTATCGCCTGCTCTGTTAATTGAACTCTAATCACACACAGGAAGCTGTGCATGCTCTAGCAGTCAATTAACAGAGCAGGAGATAAGAAATTCTAAAGTAAACACACTGTGCTGTAAGAATGAAATTGAAAGCATTTTCTTTTCATTCAGGCTGTGTGAGTCACAACCAGGGGAAGAGCTAGGACTGCAGAAACAGAAACAAAAGTGATTTAAATGGCAGAGAATTGAGCAGTGAGACTGCAGAGGCATGATCTATACACCAAAACTGCTTCATTAAGCTAAAGTTGTTTTGGTGATTTGAATGTCCCTTTAAGCAGGGCATATTCATATGTTGTAAGCCCAGCATACACTGTATGAAAGTGTTAATATAATAATGTTATTAATAAAACCAAATCAAATGTGTTTATTTACATAGTTTTACACAAACTACTTTATAAATTATTCTGTATTTTTCATATGCTTTTAAAATGAATCTCAGAGCATTAAAAGGCATTATTTCAAAGATTCCCAAATATAAATCTTACTCTGACCCGATAAACAAAAGTTTAGTTTGGTTAAATATTCTATTTTCATTGAATATGCTCCTCATACAAATAAGAACCCTCGACACACACATAGAATGACGCAAGACCTTGCGCCCAAACTAAACGTTCCTTCGTTGTTTAACGGCCCTGATTATTGTATGAAAGCGACATTTGCTATTTCTGTGCTTTATGTGGCTCCTGGGTAGATTTCCAGGATAGTTTTTAAAAGCTTCTGGTTTCATTTTTGGGGGAAAATGCACAGCGCTGAGCTCTGTCTGGTTACCATAGAAACTGTGGCCTATTATTGTACCTTGCCATTCATCAAGACAGAATCACTCTGACAGAGCTAAACGCCTGCAGTCTGGACACACAATATGGAAGGGCCCGATTTTCTTTCTTTTAACTGTTAACCAATCTTTAACTCTACAAAATACAATATTTCTATGCATAACTGTGTGTGTATTTATTGATAGATATATTATTAGTATGATTCTGATTTCAAACCACGGCAATATTGTAGATATATTAAGACCTTAAACAAAGATAGTTTGAATAATCAGCGTATCTCCAGCTGTTTTCTTTACGTCAGTTTGTGAGTCCATTTAGGGGCCTGTCCAGAGGGAATAATCGATGTGCTGGTTATTGTAGCAGACTCCATTCCCTTATGTTCGGTGGTCCCTTGTTCGTCTCCCGAAAGACTTGTGTGCAGGGTCCCTTTTTATGCCCCAGTGAACACCGGCCTCCCCTGGCTGTTAACCACAAATTAACGACTTAACACGTTTGCTTGAATGCTTTCCCTGGGTGGCTGCCATTCCAGGGAAAGCACGTGGTCCAGTACATGGTGGCCACTTTGTCTCCCGAACGCAGGCAACAGTACTTGGTCGTCGAACGGCTGAAACTATTTTTGGCCTCTCGTCTCTGAGAACCTGGGCAAAGATGGTAATGCTGCCCGTCCCTCTTTCCGACCATCTAGACGAATGGCGTTCGGGAGATAGGATATTCCTAACAGGGGGAGAATTCCCTCTACAGCAGCCAGGGGGAGCGTTCGTCAGCCACCCTTCCCAATTCCCTGGAACTGTTTTGGGATATCACTGTGTTTGACTATAACTTTCGTTATCAAATGCGTCCGGTCAGTCTCTGTGTACTCCTGCATTCGGCCCGGTCAGTCTCTGTGTACTCCTGCGTTGGGTCCGGTCAGTCTCTGTGTACTCTTGCAGTCGGTCCGGTCAGTCTCTGTGTACTCCTGTGTTCGGTCCAGTCAGTCTCTGTGTTTTCCTGTGTTGGGTCTGGTCAGTCTCTGTGTACTCTTGCAGTCGGTCCGGTCACTCTGCGTGTACTCCTGCATTCGATCTGGTCAGTCTGTGTGTACTCCTGTGTTCGGTACGGTCAGTCTGTGTGTACTCCTGCGTTTGGTCCGGTCAGTCTCTGTGTACTCTTGCAGTCAGTCCGGTAAGTCTGTGTGTACTCTTGCGGTCAGTCCAGTCAGTTTGTGTGTACTCCTGTGTTGGATCCGGCCAGTCTCTGTGTACTCTTGCGGTCAGTCCAGTCAGTCTTTGTGTACTCCTGCATTGGATCCGGTCAGTCTCTGTGTACTCTCGCGGTCAGTCTAGTCAGTCTCTGCGTACTCCTGCGTTGGATCCGGTCAGTCTCTGTGTACTCCTGCGTTCGGTCAGTCTGTGTTTACTCCTGTGTTCGGTCCGGTCTCTGTGTACTCCTGCGTTGGGTCCGGTCAGTCTGTGTTTACTCCTGCGTTCGGTTTGGTCAGTCTCTGTGTACTCCTGCGTTCGTTCCGGTCAGTCTGTGTTTACTCCTGCGTTTGGTCCGGTCAGTCTCTGTGTACTCCTGCGTCGGTCCGGTCAGTCTGTGTTTACTCCTGCATTCGGTCTGGTCAGTCTCTGTGTACTCCTGCGTTCGTTCCGGTCAGTCTGTGTTTACTCCTGCATTGGGTCTGTTCAGTCTCTGTGTACTCATGCGTTTGGTTTGGTACACAGATTGAATGCTAAAAGGAACATAATAAGGATACCCATTGTTTATGCCTAACATAACTTTAAATGTTAAAAAGCAAAAAAAAGTGTGCTAAGCGCTTCACACAAAATAAAACAAACTGTGACCAAAAATCATAAATAGTGTAACTGATATCAAAAGTGCTTCGCCCACACATAAAAAAGGGAAATACAAAAAGATATCAGTACATATACAAATCCCAGTGAACAAAATACATATAAAAAATAAATAATACAACCATATTAGATATTGAGATAATAAAAGATACCGAAAACAAAACAATAAAAACCATAGTGTGAACTGTTTAACAGAAAATGGTTAGATCATCTTATAGGACTACCACTCACATGGCCCAGAGCCGTACCAGGCTCTGTATCACATGCTCAAGGGTGCCAAATGCTTGACAGTAGTAGCAGATGTTTGGCAAAAAAATATAATTATTTCAGGATACCAATAAAATACATAAAAAGATGTTTTGCTCCCTTGTATATTATATGTGGTTTGTCACCAATAGTGATGTCCCGAACGGTTCGCCGAACGGTTCGCCACGGACAGCATCCATTTTACATTCATTGTGAAGCTGCATTCTTAGTGAGCTGTCCAGGAGGTGGGAGGGTCTGGGAGGGAGGTGTCTGCAGACTGTGATGTACGGGGTCAAAGTTTATTTTTATGTTCCCTGTCTGTGGCGAACCATTCGGCGAACCGTTCGGCGAACCGTTCAGGACATCACTAGTCACCAATGATAGCTTTTAAATTGGGATCAGTTCTTAAATTGCGCCAATATTTCTTTATAATGTGTTTGACTGGTTTAGCATCTTAACTATATTTTTAAATCAGGGGAACTACTTTTTTTTTCTTCCGTATTTACAACCTGTCCTTTAATATTATTCTTTTTACCTAAAATCTAATTCCTATCTAGGAGTTTAATATTTTCAATATTTTCATCAATTTTGTGCAGGTCATAATTTACTTTCTCTCAATGTCTTTTTTAAAAAAAAACTCTGCTTGTTCTTCAAATGTCATTTTATCACTACAGTAACTGTACAGGCTTAAAACGGTCCCTTTGGGATGTTTTGCAACCATGGGTAGTAGTGGCTACTTGATGTTTTGATATAGCCGTTAACATCAACCTTCGTGAAAAAAGGGCAGAGTGAGCCCCTATGATGATGCACTCACACTGTGCATTTTGGGGACAGTTTTTTTGTGTTTCCAAAGCAGGACACCGGGGAACAAACCCGGGACAGAAGAACAGACCCGAAAATCAATAAATCTCTCCCTAAGAGTTCCTCGGCACCGTGGACATCTTTTTTAATCACTACACTTGGTAGTTTTGGTTTAATTTGACTAAGCTAGGGAGGGTGGCTTGTCCACGGTGCTGAGGCACTTTTAGGGAGAGATTTATTGAGGTCTCCATGGACATGGGTTTTCTCATATAGGGCCCCCTATCCTCCTCTCTCCCCTTACCTACATTGTTTAATTGCCTTTTCCTCTCATTTGTTCACTGCTCTAGGGTATATATCATATTGGGGTGGCATTTAGAGGCTCCTACATTCCTTCTCTACTTTTTTGCTTAGAGAGAGGATACCCTTGAGCACTGTTTAGACAAATCTTCCCTAATTATCTTGGTTTTTTTTAACCCGATTCCCTAGAAGTAATAAAGGTAGGGCCTTCTTCCCTCTGAGTTGTTGGTCGTCCTTCTATCTAGGACCCCCCATTTATTAGGGCTCCTTTTTTTGTAAGTAAGTGTTTGTGATCTGTTAGAAAGTGCATCCTCTCATAAATAAAAGAGCATTTTAATAACCTTTCTGTTATAAATGTTTGGCTCCCCCACACAACCCTATCTCAATAAAAGGGTTTGGTTGTTTTTGGCGAGAAGAATGATGACCCCAAGTCGCCCTTCTCACTCCTAAATTGTGGTTTTGTGGTTTAACATTATCTCTGTGATACGCCTTTTATTTCCCGTTTTGTCCACCATCATTCGCTCATTAAAATCCCACTTAGTGATTGTAAAAATATTAACAAGAAACAGCCACAAAATACTTTTGTGCTACTTTTGGGTTCCATTTTACAGTAGAATGTTTGGTGTGGGCCCAGCGACTAAGATGAAAATGTAACACCAGACTTAAAAAATGACCACTTTCCGTAAAAAGAAAAACAAATAGCTTTACAGGAATATCTGTAGTTGTTTTTAAATTCCTTTATAAATACATTGTATCTTCTTAATAAAAGTAATTCATTTTGACTATAAGTAGTTCCCAAATAGTTTTTTTTTTAATATGGAGGATTTTTTTTAAATTATGACCATTCTTTCTTAAGACCCAATAACGCTCAACTATAATGGTAATCATTGACCAAAGGCCCTAAAGTAGTTTATCCAAACACCTAAATTAGTTTATATTGCAATTTGCTTTGTGTGTGAAGAGTTTTTTGTTTATTTGTTTTTAAAATTTCACAAAAAGTGACAATTTCAATAGAAATGGACACGTATAAATGAACCTGGTTACACCTCCTTGGATGTCAATCACACACCCGGTCCTGTTACTTCCTGGTTTGGTTAGCTCAGTAGAGCTAAACTTAAGAAGCACCTGACTTGCAAAGACTTCTCATTGAGCTGCATTGGGAAGTCTGTGATTGGACAGCTACAGAAAGTTTGGGTGGGGTCAGAAGGGGAGGGTTTGTAAATGCTGCAGACTAGATATTTACAGCTTTTACAAGCTGTTTTAAGATATAAACATCTAATGAAAGATGCAAATTCAAATACATATATGTTGTCATGATGGGGTATATGTACTACACAGTTATTTTATTACGGTAATTACTGTATTTGGGCAGTGGGGTGTCCCTTTCCTCTAAACACTCTATATACAACTAGACAGGTGACTGATCTCTGCATGACCATCTATGGATGGGCATCAATCTGGAGGTAAGATTAGCATTTTGACCCATATTTATTTTAAAAAATCCCAACATTCACATAGCAGTAACTTAAACTTAGGTGATAATATAGAAAATATACAGACAGAAATAGAAATGTTATTTAAACAAATAAATAAATACATTAAAAAATAAATCATTAAATAACAGCTCCTGGTGGCCTTTCTACATTTAAATATTCACTTTAGTGAACAACTCTGTGTGTCTATAGCTGGCCCACTGGTGGATATCAGTATTTAGAGACACGGATAGTGTACGTGGCACGAAACAAACAGTGACATTGCAGACTGTATTTTCAGAATACAAACACAGAATTTTATTTTCTTATTCCACGGTTTGGCTTACTTGCATTTTATGTTTTTCTTTGAAAATATCTCACGTTTTTTTCTGTTCGGTTTACATATCTGTTTGTAGTGTATATGAATGCATTCTGCATGTGCTTTTTATGTACATTGTTTATTTGTTGCACAGAAATAGCTAGCAGCCTGTCTTTACTCTGCCCGTGGTTTGTATGCAAACTAGAACTATTCTAAGTGAAATCTCAGGCGTTCTATCACTTTGCTGTAAGGTTTGTTTTTCGATTATTTTAGTAATTATTTAGTGGACATCCAAAGCGCATCAATGCCAGCCAATCATGTTTTTGGTGGAGAGGATAAAGCTGTTAAATTGCTTATTTCAGAAACAAAATACTTGGTTTATAAAGTATTTTTGGTGAGGTTTGAAATGTTTTGACGGGTTGGCCTCGATTTCTACCATTGCTGTAATAAACAAATTGAAAAAAAAAAAGAAAAGGGGAAACATATTCTTTGTAAAATGTTGTGAATAAATCCTGAAAAGTTCAAAAGTTTGTGAACTATTTTTCTTATCTTTTCAGACCATATGTATTTCTGGTAATTTCGGAGTCCTCCTAAATAACCCTGTGGCTACTGGAAGTTCCGGTGATTAGATAAGCAGAGTGAAATATTGAGTTAGAGATTGTATGTGTCACCTGTAGGGCAGATCAGACACAGGGCTGAAATATCCCTAAAACATGTAGGAAACACATACCCAATGCCCTTCCTGGAACGTCCGGTGATGTCTGGATAATGGTAAAACGTTGTCCTCTGTCAGCCACAGAAAAACAACGCAAAGGTAAGGAGGTAAACTAAACTTGAAGAAGAGACACAGGTATGATGAAAAGCTTGCAATCTAAATCTAGTGAGCCGATCAGCATACGTCCCTTGTTCAGGTTTCCCTGGACTGAATAAGGAAGGGAAAGACATGACTGCTGCCCAGGGAGGGGGGATGGACATAAAGGGATACATATGTAGCAATAAGGGACCTAGTACATAAGGGAATCTGGGGGTGGGCCCTTGTCACTCAGTAGGTAGGAATAGATCTAAAAGGAGCTTTCCCACCCTCCCCCCCTATAATGGTTGTGGTTAGTAGTCAAGTGGCGGTGTTGGTGGTGTTTTTCTTGGTGTCTGGTTGTCTCTGTTTTTGTTTTGTCACAGCGGAATACCTGGCCAGCGCATGGGAAGGCAAGTGACAAGTCGGATTGGGGAGTCACAGCATGCTTGGGCTGAAGGCGGAAGGCAGGCTGCTTTGGACTCTGGTAAAAGGATGTGAGACATGTCTGATGGATGAATCACCCCATCAGCTGACAGTTGGTTTTAATGCTGGTCAAAAATGTTCAATAAAGCTGTGGCCGTTGCCCTTATCCACTATACAGGTGTTGTGTGTTTATTGGGCAACGGGAGGTTCGTGGGTCTGCAGTCATGCTGACCTCTCTTTGTTTAGCCACGGCTAATCATGGCACTGCAGATTTTTATGAACTGCTCAGAAGCTAGCAATGCATTTTGGGGAACTGAATCTGCCTACAATGACAAACTTAGCGTTCTCTGATAATTAAACACACAGCACTGTGAACTCATAAAATAATATAAACCATTTATTTAGGGTTAATTTTTTTTCTTCATGCCCTGGTTATTAATCTTTGGCATTGGTGGCAGTATGTAAATTTGGCCCTAGAATTCTTGGGGCCTGCTCATGGCTGGTCAGGGTGAGTGAGCAAACCTTAGCCAACACAAATGAACTGGCGCAGACACGAACCAACACAGTGTAAGCCCACAGGTCTTCCAACCAGCTGAAATGTGGCATTCTCATCCTGTGTGACAGTGTACCAAACATTTTCCAAAACAGACCATCAAACGAGTTTAAAAATGTACATAGTGGCCTCCAGCTAGTCCCAGCTACGGATTCATACTCAATTTAGCTCACTTGTGCCGTAAAGAGAACCGACTTATCCCCCCCACTAGGAAAGACCAGACGTAAACTGACAGCAATTTCTCTCTGTACAAGAAATACAGCAACTCCAGGTAGTGGTTAGGGCCTCCATTGGGCTGAAATGCCTCTAGCAGCTTTGATAAATCAGGCCAATTAATGGGCAAGTAAGAAAAAGCAAATGGGGTTCCACTACATAACCAACTGTCAGAAGTAATAGGAAACACCCCAGTAACTGCATCAGCCAAACACAGCTTCTGGATAGATCAGGAGGCATTTTCTCATTCCATTCACGGTGTCCTTGCTCACTTGCTTCTCGTGTCCTCGCTCGGTTCTCGGTGTCCTTGCTTGATTGGTATTTGTGTCCTTGCTCAGTTCTTGCTGTCCTTGCTTGATTGGTTCTCTGTGTCTTTGCTTGATTCTTGTTGTCTTTGCTCGCTCGGTTTTCTATGTCCTTAGTCGGTACTCTGTCATTGCTCAGCTCTCATTGTTCTTGCTTGCCTCTTGGTGTCTTTGTTCGTTCAGTTCTCGGTGTCCTTGTTCTCTCAGTTCTCTATATCCTTGGTACTTTTCAGTGTCCTTGCCTGTGATGTCCTGCGTGGTCTGTGATGGTGGGTGTGAGGATATCTGTGGATGAGAGGGTGTCTATAAATGTGGGTGTGAGTGTGTCTGTGATGGTGGGTGTGGGGGGGGTGTCTGCTATGGTGGGTGTGGGTGTCTATGAGGGTGGGTGTGGGGGTGTCAGTGTGTGTGGGGGTGTCTGCTATGGTGGGTGTGGGGTGTCTGCTATGGTGGGTGTAGGGTGTCTGTGATGCTGGGTGTGGGGTGTCTGTGAGGGTGGGTGTGGGGTGTCTGTGAGGGTGGGTGTGAGGGTGTTAGTGTGTGTGTTGGGTGTCTGTAATGGTGAGTATGGGGTGTCAGAGGGTGTGTGTTGGGTGTCTGTGAGGGTGGGTGTCTGTGAGGGTGGGTGTGTCAGTGTGTGTGTGTGTTGGGTGTCTGTAATGGTGAGTATGGGGTGTCAGAGGGTGTGTGTTGGGTGTCTGTGAGGGTGGGTGTCTGTGAGGGTGGGTGTGTCAGTGTGTGTGTGTGTTGGGTGTCTGTAATGGTGAGTATGGGGTGTCAGAGGGTGTGTGTTGGGTGTCTGTGAGGGTGGGTGTCTGTGAGGGTGGGTGTGTCAGTGTGTGTGTGTGTTGGGTGTCTGTAATGGTGAGTATGGGGTGTCAGAGGGTGTGTGTTGGGTGTCTGTGAGGGTG